CGCCGCCCCCGCGCAGTGTTTCATTGGCAAAACAACGAACGCACTTAACCACCCTGGGGGGCAGAAAACCGGTCCAGAGAAGTGACAGGGGCTGCTCTGGAAGGTCGCAGAACCGGCAGACAGGAGAGGCAGGACTAGGCCCGCGCGGTGCGCCCTTCCAACTAACACCCAGTATGTGAGCGGCACCAGCGCTCCGGGGACAGATAGCTAAACGAGGTGGATTATTGGGACAGTCTCCTGAGCAGATTAGAACTTCATTAGGGGTGACAACAGCAGGGGCGCCTGGTTGGCTCAGTGCGTGCGCCTTCTACTCTTGGTTTGGGCTCAGGTCACGATCTCAGGACTTCGAGATCCTGTGCTGTCTCGGACTCACCCTGTGCTGTCAATGCAGTCTGCTCTCCCTCTCTCTCTCTCTCTCTCTGCTCCTCCCCCTCTCACGCTGCCCTCTCTCTCAAAATAAATAAATAAACTTAAAAAAAAAAAAAAAGAGTGACAACACCCTTAGCGCGCGGTCCATGATTCCTCGGAGGCCCCCTTCTCTCACCTTTTAATCAAACCACATGCCACTTTCTGGCGTCACCCACATACCCGCCCACACAGTTACCATCGCCTTTTGAAGAGATGATCTCCTAGACACCTAGAATTCATCTCCACTCCATCCCACTGCCACGGTTCACACGATTTCTGCCCCCAAATACTGTAGCATAGTCTTGTGCACCTCAGCCCGGGCTCCGCCTTCTCAGGGATTTCTTGCTCTCTATGAATGATAAGTTCAAGTCTCTACTGGCCCATTCCTATCTGCAGGCAATCTCTAGTGTTGCCCGTGAAAAAGAAAAAACAAACAACATAACCCTCCCCAGACACTCCAGCTGTAGCAATCTCTTGTCCTTCACAGCAGAATTTCCCTAAGGGGCTGTCTAGCTGGTCTCCATTTTCTTGCTCCCATTTATTTCTTGATATAGCCATTAAAATTATATATATTTAGAGGTGTCTGGGTGGCTCAGTCGGTTGAGCGTCTGACTTCAGCTCA